CTGTAAATCTTGCTAAACCTGAAGCCCAGACCCCTAAAACCTCAAACCCAAAGCTCTGGAGCTCTAAAGCCTGAACGGCGGAATCTAAAACCTCAAGGCGTAGCATGTTCATGTTCTTAGTCGCTGAGTGAATACACTTTACACTCCGTCTTACCCCTTGTAGAACTGAAAGTTGTTGGGGCCTATGAACTCAGCGACTAGTTCTTTAGTGTTCTCATCAGGAAATGTGTTTATCTTATTGTAACAGAACTTGAAGGGATTATTGAGCTTTGGTATTAATTTGGTACCTGGTCGAAGGTGTCTTTCGTAGCTGCCTCGGGTACTTTAGGGTTTCTATACGGATACCATGTGGATATATCTAGGGTTTAGGGTAGAAGGGTCCATGGACCCAATCAGATGTTAAGCCCTTAAGTGTGGTTATTGCTGGTCACCACAGTTCCTTACCAATGAAATGATCCGAGCTATGACCTACCAGTTAAAAGTATTGGATAGGCAACTCAACTGGCTTGCTAGCGAGAGGACTGTAGGTGATACGAAGTACCAACCATGACAATCACGCGTAGTTTGGGCTCACACGCACAGAATGCTACTTTTACTAAACTACGAAACCCTTTGTTTGAGTTGTCAGGTATTATGCCGTATCTAACAAAGAAGTTCACCATTAATTAAGGAAGCTAAGTATGGTATATTGGTTTCAAAAAATTTGACAAGTACCTCCGCAGGAGCTGAGCTACGAAGCTAGGCACAAGCCTTCTACAGGTTCTAAAGTTCAGAAGACACTTTGACATGCTCCCGAAAGCTACGTCAGTTCACACTGCCTCCTTCTGCTGAGGCTCTTGCTGAAGACTAATCTCTTCACAGCCTAACATCTCCAGAGGCCTCGAGCAGCAAATCCTGCAACCACAGGTCCCGAAAGTCCAAAACCCAAAGAAGGGCCTTAAACCCGACGTGAGACCCGAAAGATCGGAGCCTCGAAGCCCAGACCGAACGCCTTTGATTTGGGCCTCTCGGTTGGGTCACATGGGCGTCGTCGGAATCCCAGAGCGTGGGCGCGGGATTTCCGACTTTTGGGTCTGCTTGCTGACTCCAAAGAAGGTGGGGCCAGACTGCATCAAGGGACAGCAACATATCACAATAGCTCAACGTAGTTGGTTCAGTGGACCCGGCCCTACACCCTAAATATGGAGAGGACGGGTGGTCCGAGGGTAGATGCAAGACACTGCTCATATGGCTGCTACAGCCTCAAACACGGTAAAGGGAGCTCACCTTCCAAGCAACGCTGTTGAGATTCTGAACGCTTGACAAATAAGCTAGACTAGCAGCAAGACTTCAACCGTCATCACCAGTCTGAAAGCTCCGGCTGTGCAGAGACAGGTCAAGATCCTTCTAAAGGAATGCCCCGATCTCACCTGGCGCGACAAAGAAGGCCTATCAAAGCTTTGGGGAACCGGGGTGTTCTTGGTTCAGCATCGAGGTCCCCTGAGCGGCGTCCCTCTTAACTGTCGGGATGTGACTACGGAACCCTTTCTCAGCAAAAATGATAAACCTTTCATATCTCTGTCTACCTGCAAAGAGTGCAAGCGGACTATCTTTGATTACTACTTATCTGCACCGGCCTGCATCCCTGGGGGGACGCGAAAATCAGAGACGTTGAATGACTTTAAAGTTTACTACTGATGCATCCCTTGCCAAGTTGGCACCCTAAACCCCAAATCAGGTACCAGGCTGGTTCCAGATCCATTCTGGGTAAGTTTAGGATGAGAAAGACCCCGAGAAGGCATACAGCTTGCTGACGCGCATGAGTGAAAGACTTTGGCAAGGTTCTGAAGAGCGCTAGTTGCTATCATATTCTTGCTGATATCATGGTTCTTGAATGATGTTGAGCAAACTCTTCGGGACGCCGAGGTTCTCCGCGTGTTGCTTCCGGGGAATCATCCTCGAAAACCTGCAGTTTGAGATAGCGTAGAAAATTGATAACGAGCTATGCCATTCCTCAAGTTTCCGTATTATGCTTATAGTATATTACTTTGCCCCAAAAACCCTTTCAAAATTATTGAGGCCCCTATACTTGCAAGGTTTTCTCCCTTCACATTTTTGGAGCCTCCTGGTGCGTGTTCATGAGCATCGCTTTTGGGAGTTCAGGAAACACAGGGAACCGGATGTGGGCCCGAAATAGTGCTGCCAGCGAGGGTGAGGATGCCGTCACTCTTCGTGGTTTTTTTCATGGGCCCTTGCTTTCTCGGCCAGAATTCGTACAACTCCCTAAAGCCCTAAACCCTAAANNTAAACCCCTAAACCCCTAAAAGCCAGGGCTTACGGCACTGGATCATTGCCGGGAGCACCTGGAGCTCCGAGCTGCGGTGGTGCTGGCGCCGGGCTCGGAGGGCCGGGCTGGGGTAGGTTTAGGGTTTAGGGTTTCAGAGGGCTGAATATGGGGGCCTCACATAGGGTTTTTGGGATACAAAATAGCTTATTTATGATCAGAAACCTCCCGGGAACAATGCTAGTAAATTTTCAGCTTCTATGTTAGGGTTCAGGAAGAGGCACAAACTCATCAGATCTTGTGTCGGGAATAGGGCAACTGTGCCAAGAGCTCGGGATTACATCTTTGCATCGCCAAAACTGGGTCGGCTCTGCGCGAGGCGATGTGAAAGCGTTTCAAGAACTAGGGTATGACCAGTGCAAGAAGAAGGCCTTGAGGCTAAGCTGAGCCTGGTCAGTAGCGATGGCACGTGTCTTTGTACCACTTGTGTTACCATGCTTCCGAGTGTTGACCATCGGCCTATCACAGTCCAAGGAAGCATCACAGCGACCGCCACAGTAGCCACAGCTGCTGTTGTTGGCCGTGCTCCCAAACCTGCTTCTGCCACTGCTCCTCAGGACCACTCCCACTGCTAAACATTAGCAGGATGACTACTACTACTACTACTAC